TACATTTCTTATAATCGAGAAGTACCCATTTATTCACACAAAATCTTGATATTCTTGTACTCTAGAAACCTTTGGCAGTGTACTTGCAAGATACATACACTCTAAAAATACTCTACCAGGTTTTGTGGATATCTAGCGATGCTATGAAAGATGAGCGTACAAAACATATAATTTAGAGTTGAATCTATTCTAACAACACAATTTCTTAAACACCCTGAACTAAATGAACTTTTTTTGCTATAAAACTAGAAATTCTACTTAATGCTAGAAAATATATTTCCAGTGACAAATATTGGAGGGCTTATTCCATCTGTGCCCCCAATTCCTTAGTTGTGCTCAGTTTTCCCCACTCGCTCATTTTGCCTTGGTTTTGAGCACTTTTTCAGGGGCAAAAGTGAGGAAAATGTGAAGGCAAAATTTTTGAATCATGGGGAAAAGTGAGTAAAAAGTTAACGAATGGGGAAAAGTGAGCACAACTAAGAGACGAGGGGCATAGATTTAAATAACCCAATATTGGAAGGGTAGAGCAATAATATTTATTTAATACACATGAGAGTGTTTACATTGTTCATTATGCTTATTATACCAAAGAATATTCAAAACAATTTATTAAATGATGTATATAAATAGAAACAACATACTCCCTTCATCTAAATGTATAGGATACAATACCCTTTTTTGAGGTTCACTTTGATCACACGTTAAAGCAATACCATGTGATGTGTGCATTACAAAAAGTATATCGTAAAATTTGTATGTGAAAGAAATTTTCAATGACATAATTTGTATATGATACATCTCATATATTATTAATTTTATGAATGGTCAAAGAAACCTCAAAAAAATGTATTATTGTCCTATATATTTAGATGGATAGAGTATCTATTATTATCATGAAGTAAAACATTTAGTATATATAAATGATAACATTTTAACTTACCCTAGACATGCAGAATAATCATATTTGGATTGCAATGAGTAGTGACCAGCGAAATCTCTAGACCAACATTTGTGCCCTACCCACAAACTGGCAAAAAAAGAAAATTGGCAACACATCGAGGACAAGTATCGTAAGCCCATGCCGACCCCATCCAACCATTTATTGAAATCGCTCCAAGGCCGTGGGATGTAATAAAAAAATAGTGTCGTCGTTGGAGTGTTTGCTTGGAGCAAGTGAGGAATGCAACTTCGAAGTGGTTGCACAATTGATGACTATGTGAGTTGTCATTTTGTTGTACACATTTGTTATCTTATTTGCTTTTGATGACAAATTGAGCTCACACTTGCCTCTTTTCCACATGCAGGATCACATGCGTGAAAGGTTCAAGCATGTCGGCTTCCAAAGGCAAACCATTCGTGCTCCAACATTGTTGGAACTTGTTCCAAAGAAGTGGGAAATGGGGGTTGAGGGATCAAGAAGCTCTACAAAATCAAGGTGCACTCGTTAACCTGGAAGACAATGATGATAGTGATGATGCACCAAGGGAAGGAAGAAACAAGGGAAACACCGATGAATAAAAGTTGGAGAAAGATAGTGTGAAGAGGTCGGCCGAGGCCTCTAGCTCAAGGGGGCAAATTAATACAATGGCGAAGTTAAAGGAAACCATGATGAAGAAGCATTTGGAAACCAAGGTGGCCTTGACTGAGAAGGAGAACCAACAAAAGGAGACAAAGTGGGAGAGATGATGTGTCTTTGAGGAGCGCAAGATCGCTGTTGAGGAGCAAAAGAGGAAGGACAACAAGATCGCAGAGGAGGGCTAGTTCTTGATGATGGATCTGAATGGCATGCAACCAATGACAAGGGTGTTTTGGGGAGTAGAATGGAGATCATGTTTCGGAGGAGACACACACGAGCTTCATGATCTTATGGCTGGTGGTGGTTGTCGTGGTGCTTCTGACAATGGTGGTGGTGCTTCAGCCAATGAAGATGGCGGTGGTGGTGCTTCCGGCAATGGTGGTGACGGTTCTTCGGTCAATGTTAATGATGATGGTGCTATGGCCGGTGGTGGTGGCGATGATCTTGTCAACAATGGTGTTGCTTGATTTGATCGCGTCTAATTGTGTTTGATTGTGCATTCTCTTGGACAAATTTAGTTGCTACTTGCATGCTTTTGGATGTGAACTATTGTCATACTAGTATTGTATGATATTAGGGTATTTATTCGGTGTATTGCATCTACCATATGAGTTTGTAGTTTTCTCGAATACATATGAGTTTGTAATTGATATCAAAAGTTTTTGCAGTTCAAATTTACGACATTTGTTCCGCCCAAGCCCGCACGGTACCACAAACCAGTTTTCGGGGCACCTAAAATGGGTTTTGCAGGATGTGTTTTTCCGAGAACTGCTAGAGATGCTCTAAAGGCTATAAACTAATCTCGGAAAAAAAATCTTGAAATTGTCCACCAACTGTTGTACCATGTCCATGCACTGCAATGCAGCAGCAGTCACATGCAAATCGCTTGGTTGAAGCCACGAAAGATCAGTGTCCATCTCAAGTCGTGTTCTTACCGTGTAGCTTGCTTCTCCTCGTGTGCAGATAACAGTTATTGCCGATGCTTGCCTTGGATGAGCTCCAAGTAGTTTGGCGGTGGTATCCTGGTGTGGTATTCCGGTTGGCAACGGCGTCGGTCGCTCTTTAGCCCTCGGGTGGGCGTCTCCACCTTTCGACGGATCGGCGCCCTTCGTGCCAGGGCGAGGGGGCAGGGAGCCCCCTTCAGAGGTGGAGGAGGGCGACATCGACGGCCAGAGCCCATGGAGCTGACAACGGAGCTCCTCCAACTACTGTTTGCTTTTCCCCAAGCTTTGCTGGTGCCTGCGTGTTGTTCTGCTCGCCGTGGAGGCGTGGAGGGCTTCTTCGACTTCTAGCTGGACTTGTCCTTTAGTTTCCATATCCTTGCTAATAGTTTGTAGTAGCCAGATAGCTTTTACACAGCACCTTGTATCGGCTTGCTGTTTTGTTTTTTGTTTCCTTTGTTTGTTAGATGTAATCCTGGCCGGTTGATGGCTTTGTTAATTCAAAGCCGGGCTCTTCTTGAGCCTTCGTTCTAAAAAAAAAAGTCGTGTTCTTTTGCCCTTGCCTCGGTGAGAAAACATCTTCAGATTTTCGTCCTCACGCAGCCTGCCGTTTTTGCCGATTGGCACGACCAGGAACGGTATGTTTCTGCAACTTGCAAGTGCATGCATGATGCATGGAATCTTTATCTCCGGATCAAATGGCGCCAGCTAGAGAACATGAACGGCCTGCAAGTTGTGTCGCGTGTCCCGGAGAGATTGGCTGCTGCGCATCTCATCCGTCAGTGTTTATTCTCCAGTGGACAGATATGCTCGAAACACTCTCAACTTGTGTCCCAAATTCGAAATGCTAACTTGTGTCTCAAAACACTCTGGACGGAAGTGTGCGAAGAACAGCTTCAGAATTTAGGACAATCCGAAGGAAAGGAACAAACAAATAAACCCAAGACAGTACAGAACATCCACATGTGACCGGCAACCCTGAGGAAATACATCCAATCTCTGTGTGCTGATGCTGGGCAAAGATTCTGTCAATTATTCGGTTCGCATCTCAAATTCTGATCCTGAGCTAGGGTATCGAAATAGACAGTGTGATGATGATTAGTTTAAGCGGCCCGTGTCACTCGAGCTGCCCAGGACTGGAGAAAATTTGTACCCTGTTGTACAGCTGCAGAGTCTCTTCCCGCAAAAAAAAAAAAACAGTTGCAGAGTCTCTGTGACAAATTTGTGTGTAATAACAATTTTGGGAGGAATCAGGTAAAAAAACAATTTTGGGGGAAAATAAAATGGAGATCGCGCCGTCGTGGGCCGTTAGCAGAAGGACGTGCGGCAACTGCTACTGCGGCGATCTACCGGAACCGTCGGATCCAGAAACGAGTGGCCGAGATCGCGCGCCTCTCCTCTTCTTCCCCGTCCCCCCTCATTCCCACGCCGCTCTCGTTCCGTCATTCCACCCAATGCGGCCGTGAGTGTGAAAATCCACCCCTCTCGTTGCCCACCACCGCCGCGCCTGCTGCAGCCTAGCGCCGCCGCCGACGCCTCGCCCGCCCCCAACCCTCCATCTAGTTTTTCGAGGTACGAGCTTCCATCCATTCACATTCTCCAAGTCCACAAAGCTATACGTCGATTCCCTGGAGTGGATCATTCTTGATCTGCGAACAGCATGGTCAATTTTTTTGAGAGGAGAACGGCACGAGGTCCATAATAGATAACGCTCACTTGGATGGTAGGTTTGATGGGTCAGATGCTCTGTTGTTCTATATTGGTACGGTGACATGGTTGTACATTCAGTCATGCGTTCAGCGACAAGTGGAAGTATGTTTTAAATAAATACATACTCCCTAAGTTCCATAATTGCTGTTGTGCTTTTAGTTCGTCCAAAGTACAATTTTTTTTCTTTCAAGGATACTAAAAAGTACCCCATCCGTATCAAAATATAACGCATGTTTGCAGTTCAATTTCAACTGCAAAAACGTCTTATATTTTGGTACAGAGGTAGAGTAGTACATAGTTTTAGGTGCCATTCAAAATGATATATTTGGATCTATCGGCTGTCTTATACTCCCTCCATTCCTAAATATTTGTCTTTCTAGAGATTTCAACAAGTGACTACATACAAAACGAAATGAGTGAATCTACACTCTAAAATATGTCTATATACATTCGTATGTGGTAGTCCATTTGAAATCTCTAAAAAGATAAATATTTAGGAACGGAGGGAGTAGATGTCTTGTATGTTTCATCTGCCACATTAGAGCTGGCAGTTTCGACATCAAACTGTCCGACCTGACTGATATCAGAATCTAAAGATTACATTTCGTGCTTTCCAGCTTAAAACTTTGGTGCTGTGAAACCAAGTCACTGGCTCTTTGCTATCTGCTCTTATATAGGGTTGTTTTATGGATGCAGGCGTTTGATGTTGTTCATCTAAGCCACAGGACGTCCACTCTGTTTGTTAATATCTAAGCACGCTTCTGACACGGAAAATGGCATTGCTTCTTCGCTTCAATCAACTGAGGAACAACATATGGAGTAGTTGTCCTGCCAGGTTGCTTATGCCACATGCTGGATTGTCATCTGGAAAGTTGCCTGATCCAAAAAGCTATGAGAGGCGCCTTTTCTCAACAAGGGTTCAAGAGACAGCTAGTTTGGACAGAACATGTATTTCCGGAATTCAGCCATTAGAGTTTCAGCAGACTTCTGAACATGAGCAATCTGTGCCTCTTCTTATCTTTGATATTAAGACCACTGGTTTTCTCCAGAAGCGTAATAGAATCACTGAGTTTGCAGTCCATGATCTTTGGGCAGGAAAGAATAACACATTTGAAACTCTCCTTAATCCTGAGATGGATGTTCCTAACTACATTGCAGCTGTCAGTAACATCAACAATGATTTGGTCTGCCGACCTGATGTCCCGAGGTGTGTTTCTCTTCCAATGCATTCATGTTATTTCCAGTTCCACCACGACACCCCATCCCTTCACATTAGTCGGCGAGCCTGAATGTAAAGAAATTGTCACTAATTAGGATGCACTCGCACTCGCACGCCTGTATGCGTGCCCAACCTTTTCATTCCTCAACATGGTGCTGTCAGAAAGACCATATGGAAGTAAGTCTATTTGTCGTGTTTTGATAACCATCCATACTACTAGTATGGTAGGCGTTTCTAAGTCTTATTTTTAGGAATCTTGTGCACTTTGCAAGTTTTTAAAATGGAAATTTGGTTCTCTGTACGTCTGACTCTGTTAACACTGAACTTACTCTAAGTGTTATCTTAATCTGAATAATGTAAGTTCAGTGATGTACTTCCGTTACTACTGGCGTTTGTTCGAAGCCGCCAAACTCCTGGCAAACCAGTTATATGGGTTGCTCATAATGTAAAAAGATTTGATGGCCCTTTCCTGGCCCAAGAGTTTGATCGTTGTTCAGCTCAGATCCCTGAAGATTGGCTGTTTGTTGACACCTATTGCTTGGCAAGGAAATTGCCTAAGCTTCTGCCATCAGAAGGTACACCATCTTTACTCCAGGGCTGTTGGGTATAAAAACACTTCATATCATCGGGTTTAGGTGTAGCACTTTTGCTTGCAAGGGTGGTTTTCCATGTCTCACTTTTCGAAGTACAATTGTAGCTAAAACCTTGTTTTGGTAGTTCTTTCTTTTACTCCATGTAATTTGTAATGCAACTCCATTTCCCATGTTTGTGCTGTTATTTAGTATATTTACTTGTTGGCCTTTAGTTTTGTGAATGCGAAGACCATTTTTGTTGAAGTGCCTAAGTTTATTTGCTTTTGTCGTTATGTCGATATCATTTTTGCAGTCCCATTTAGTTACGTAGCTTGTACCATTTGGTAAATCCACAACAGAAATAACCATAATTACAGAGTTTTACTGTTATCTGCAGATAAGAGACATCTCCATGACTTGGGGTCACTATGCAAACGCTATGGGATCTCTGTGGAAGGCCCTCCTCATAGAGCAATGCAAGAAGTGATGAAATTATGTCAAGTTTTCCAGAAAATGAGTTTTGATCTAAAACTGACATATGAAGGCCTAATGGATGAGGCCATCGAGGCTAGTTATTTCAGCAAGTTTCTTAAGTAAATAGTATTTGTTGTTTCCAGCTTCCTTGTTTTAGTGGTCAAATTTATTGGACTTTCCCCAATAGGATTAGCCTGTCCTTCACATTGCTGGATATTGTTGCCTTCGTTGTAGGATCTCAAGAATCATGACTTCTTTTTTGTTGAAAAATAGCTGCATTTGTCAGTCAAAGCCTCCGTTGAGCTTTATTGATGTGCTTTACTGTTTCAAACCTTATCGTTCCTGCCCACATCGACAGGCAAGTCAATTCAATTGGCCGCAACTCAAGTACTCATTTTTACCATATCTGCAACCTCCAAAGTAAATTATCCATTTCACCTGGAATGTTACACCCTCTATGGTTGTAATAAAAATAAGTACAGTTCATCTAGCAGCATACTACCAAATACATTCTGCTAAGAAATTCAAATCAAAATCAATAAATGCAGCTAAAAGCATGAGACCTGCTACTTTGGATAGCTTACAGGATTCTGGAGAAGGCCTCCCTGTTCTCGTTGAGCGTCCATGGATCTTCTACGCCGGAGGCGTAGTAGTCGTACACCATCTTCCGCAGCTTCTCCTTGGCGAGCTTCTTGTACGAACACATTCATGATTATATCCATGCTCCTGATCGAACAATTCATTGTCAGTTCGCAGTTCATCTGTCTGCCAAGCAGTGAAATAGATTCTCTGTTTTTTCTCTAAAGAGTGAAGACGCTTCAACATGAACTGAATATCGTCCGGATAGTTTGACAGGGAATATGAGAAATCAAGAAAGATAACAAGACATGAACAGATCAGGTGGCTGATATATCTGGAGAGGAGTTGATTAGCTGCAGAATATTTCCATGAATTCCTGATTTGGTATCAGTAGTTCGAGATGTTACTTTCGATTTTTGAATCAGTACTGACAAAATGAAACGGAACGATCCGACAGCCGGTCGAGAAAGAAACGCAAAATCACCCAGAGAGATCACAAGAAAGAGGAAGGAGGTGGAAAGTGCTACTCTAATCGCGAGCATAAATGCACTCGCATCAACAGTAAATTTCAAAAAAATAGTAAAAAGAATAAAAAATCTGAATGTTTTTGCGGTTGAACATCAACAAAATTTCCAACATTCTGCAAAATTTAGCCACGAAAAGACATCGAACATCAACAAATTTTCCAACATTCTTCCAAATTTAGCCTCGAAAAGACATCTGTGGAGGTGCATGTAAAAAAGAAAGTGCTCCAAAATGCGTCTTTTGAGTCCCGAATTTTGTTCTTTTGTACAGGCCTCCGCGGATGTCTTTTCAAAGTGAAAATTTACCGGACAATAGAACTTTTGTTGCTGTTCATACACAAACTTTCAGGAATTTTTATTTTTTGATACTATTTGTTTGGAATTTACTGCATTTGATGAAAGTAAAGGACCAGTAGGACTCACATGGCGATGGGGAAACAGGAGCGGTGGACGGTGGACGCAGGCAGGTTGGATACACGAGGAGGGGTACGCGACGACGGTTCGTCCGTGTGCTGGAGCGGAAGCGGAACAAGGTAGGTACCGTGGTGACACCGGGGTGTGGTATTTAAAGGCTTTTTTGAGAGGGCCGTTTTGGCTCTGGAGAGCATATGCTCTCGGATAAACAGTAAATTCAAAATAAATAGTAAATAAATTTTAAAAATTCTGATTTTTTTGTGTGGATGTTCATGATAGTCTAACAAGTGTGCTTGAAAAGTTTGTGCGAAACAGGATATCAGTGCTTCATCGGTGAAAAATTTAATTTAAGTGTAACATTTGGCGTTTGATTTGTTTTTTTCGCACAGGTCAAAATGCTTAAGTTTTTCCACTAAAAATTTGCAGGTAGCATTTGGGTGTGACAATGAACAAACTAAATTTTTTATATTATTTTTTTACATTTGCAAAAAAACATTTTTGATGGGCAGAAGCGTATGCTCCGAAGAGAGCCGAATTTGATTTCTGTTTTTTTAGCCGATGAATGTGGTTTGGTGAGACTGATGTCACCGTTCTGAACTCCTTCGGATGAGGCAGCCTACCTGTGTGCACGTGAGCATATGCCATGTAGTTTAGCTCAGAGGCATGTTGGCGTGGTCTTGAAAAAAGAAAAAGAGGCATGTTCGAAATGAGTGCAAGTGTTTACAGATCAATAATGGAAGGAAGATAATGATGGTATTGTTTGTGTCATTGTGCCTATGTACTTAAAGCAGATTCTAGCATGTAAACGTGATCGCCCTTTGTATTAGTTTTTGCCAGTATGATGTGTTTTTGCAGATTGAGATGATGGAATCTGATACTGGTATATCAGTCTCTTGAGATATGCCTCTTTCTTCATAAAATTCCATTAAAATGAATAGATTGCATTTACAAAGAAGTTAAGCCAAAGTGATAAATTTTACTCCTCCGTTTTTATTTACCCCGTATATTAGGTTTGTGTGAAGCCAGCCTTAAATACTTTCAACAAGTTTGTAGAAAAATAAATTAACGTATACACCACCAAATCAATACCACTAGATTCTCATTGCATATATTTTCACATCATAGAAATTTGTTACTGTAAATGTTCATATTATTTTCTACAAACTTGGTCAAACTTTATGCTACTGCTATATTATTTTGAGTGAATCAATATTTTTTTACTGTAAATATAATTGACCAACATGTAAAGCAACAAGATGCAAAACGATCTCCGTTTTTTATGCACGCGATGGCAACATTCTCTCCACTCTCGTGTATACTAGAAGTACCCATGTATTCACACAATATTGTTGTACTCTAGAAACCTTTAGCAATGTACTTGCAAGATACATACACTCTAAAAACAATCTATCAAGTTTTGCAGATATCTAGCGATCCTATGGAAAATGATGCGTAGAAACATATAAATGAGAGTGGAATCTATTGTAACAACATAATTTCTTAAACATCCTGAACTAAATGCAAAATTTTTGGTACAAAACTAGAAATTCTACTTAATGCTAGAATATATATTTTTAGTGAAATATTGGAAGGGTAGAACAATATATTCTAACATACACGAGAGTGTTCAAATGGTTCATTATGCTTATTATACCAAAGAATATTCAAAATAATTTATTTAGTGAGGTACATAAATAGAAACAACATACTCCCTCCATCCAAATATATAGGGTATAATACGTTTTTTGAGGTTCCCTTTGATCACGAGTTAGAGCAATATATGTGATGCGTGTGTGTTACAAAAAGGTATATCATCAAATTCTTATGTGAAAGAAGTTTTCAATGACATAATTTTTATATGGCACATCTCATATATAATTAATATTATGAATGGTCAAAGAAACCTAAAAAACTTATCATTGTCCTATATATTTAGATGGATAGAGTGTCTTCAATAAACACGAAGTAAAAAATGTTCAATATAAATAAATAATAACATTTAACTCACCCTAGGAACGCAAAATAATAATATTTGGATTGTAATGGATAGTTATAGCGCCAACATGCGATCCTAGCCTGATTGAGGATTTTGCAATCCTCGCTAAGGATAGAAGCACATATTAGGTTGGCCCCAACATGTGACTAATATTATACACACAAGTGTCACATGTTGGAAACAAGGTGGGCATCACAACAAATACCATACAAGAAGAGATGAGATGCAACATTTAACTTGGCCTACACTCACCACATCATAGAGGGGCAACAACATAAGTATCATGGTCCACCATAACAATCATCATACAATAAGACATGATCCGGGTACGGATAAGAAGCAAACCTAGCCTAAGAGGCCCCAAATGAAATAAGAAAGACGTCCACCCCATCTAATCCCAGGTTGCCAACTGGGAACCCATTCTATGATTGTCGTTGAAGAAGAATAACTGTCACGTTAGAACATCGCTTTACTGTGCATGCACATGTTGTTATTGTTGTGGTACCATGAGTCATTGAGACTCAACAATAACATTACTAAGGATATCAAGACTAACAATACTCAATGGGTTGGATATGGTTAAGTGGCGAGGTTGTAGTAAGCACTAAGCATTTGTAAGCCAACTATTCCTACGAGTACAAGAACAAGATGAGATAAATCTACACATAAGGGGGCACAACTAGAATGATCAATAAGTGACCCTAAACACCAACCTACCAGTCATTCATAACCCCACCGTGTTCTCCTCTTGATCCCAATCTCACAAGAAGAGACGACCACGACTACGCACACGGTTGGCAAGTTTTAGTTAATTTAATTTGAAGTTCTCTACAACTGGCTGCTATAAATTTCCAAGTAGTCGCGTAACCACAGGCATGACTTTCTGAAAGATTTAACACTGCAGGGGTGCTCCAACTCGTCCATTATAAATTATCGTAAGCATACCCGTTCCTCCAAGTTCAAATAGTCTGAAAGAGCCCCACTGGATAGCCACGTGTGTTCGAGGAGCTCAGAAGTACAAAGTCCTCCACCTATGGTAAAACTAGTCCAGCAAGACCTCCCGATGAGTCAGAACCGGCTTTGAGTCACGCACACTCTATCCCCGGACGCATCTGTCTCGTCCAAACTTCCGATAAGCCAAGCCCGAGTTTCCCCAGGTGGCTACCGGCGGTTGACAATTTTGGACAAACACCCTCAACACTAGTCCACCTTCTTATTTTGAATTAAGAATCCACAAGCTAACCAACCCCTATGTGTTAATTAATTATTAGTATTATTATGTGGGAATTTTTTTAAAATCAATGTTGGGCCTTGCTGGAAAAGTTCAACAGATAGGCGAAATGATTGGGGGGGGGGGCATAAACCCCACATACATTAGGAGTGTTGTAGGAACATAACACCGGTATCACGGAAACTAGGGAGGCAAGACAGGAACGAAACACGAAGCGAAAGGCCAAGCCTTTCACCCTTTACCAAGTGTCTAGATGGATTAATTTAGATAAGCATGATTGATAGGTCTCCAACATATCTATAATTATTTATTGTTTCATGCTATTATATTATCGATCTTCTATGTTTTATATACATTTACAAGCAATTATATATCATTT